TCCTCATTTGTAAGTCGCTTTGGATAAAAGCGTATGCTAAATGACAATGTAAATGTAAATGTAAATTTAGAGGACTGAAGCAGGCATGCCATCTCACACACTACTGTATTTACTGAAGTCACTCTCACCTCTTTTGGCAGACTTTTCTTGGCAGCTGGTGTTTTGGAGTTGAGTGTTTTAGACTTGTCTGGTAGAGGAGTACAACAAAACAATTACCCAAAGGAATGTTGAAATGACCCTGAACACAATTACTTGATATTATCAGAGAGAACTGGATAACTTGATAGCGCACAAGGCCGTGTGTGTATGTGTGTGTGTGTGTGTGTTTTGATAAAACATTTCTAAAAAATGTAGAATGTGCTCTGTTATGGTTATAGGTTAACTAGCTGTATATAAACACAAAAAAACAAGACAAATCTATGGAATGTCCTCAGTGTGTTTTTTTATATATATAAAAATGCAGGAAGTTTTCTGTGAGGGATAGGTTTAGGGTTAGGGCATAGAATATACAGTTTGTACAGTATAAAAAACATTATATCTTTGAAAAGTTCTTATAAAACATGAAAACCCAAAATGTGTGTGTTTGTGTGTGTGTGTGTGNGCACTCCAAGATCGAGAACCTCTGTCTCTCCACTCTAAAAAATTTAAAACATTTAACATTAGACTCTTTTCTCAAGAAATATGCCTTTACAAATTAATTTTGATTGATGGCAGATACAGCTTACTGTTCCAGTTTCATTACAATTTAAGGTCTAAAGACAGGCTTGATTAACCACAGAAAATAATTTCTATGCATCTCTCAGTGAGTACAGTAATGCACTCACAATAGGACAAAGTCTGTGGGACCAGGCACTGCACTAGACATTTAAATACATACTGTTTTGAAACAGTACTCATAATCAGGGGCATCAATCGACACTTTGTGGCACAAGCCCCAGTGAAATACAGCTGTGGCCCAGTATAAATGTACTAATGGAGGAGATTACAATATATGATGGAGGAGATTACAATATATCGACCTGATAATCATGTTACCCATGTTATAATACAGTATTTCAACAATCATATCATTGGTGTTTTCTACAAGCTGTTTAGAATCAAAACTAGTGATGCTACAGTCACAAATAAATCACTCTTTTGATCTAATCAGTCAAACGGGTTTGTAATAAGGTCTTGAATTAAAAATGAATCAAACTGAATCGTGAACAGTTCACTCACGCACTAAATCTTTTGTATCAGTTTCTCACACCATAACGGAATGCTTTACACTCCTGCTCATAATACTTGAACATTATACATGTTAACATGTGGCTACTTATTAAATTGCTGAATAACCTTGTCTGTGTACAATCTGCTATTTTTCAAATCCTATTGTGACCATATGATGTTACTATCCACAAAGTACTATTTAAATGTGCAAAATTCATTTACAAGAATGAATTATATGGCAACGCAAGACTAGAGGTTTATGCACCCTGAACAGTATTTCAATTGCTTTAAGGATTATTTACTTTAATAGCTGAAATAACACAAAATATTTGTATGGAAGAATTTAGATAAGCACTTGAACAAAAATACAAGCTGCACATTTCTGCTTTTCAATCATCTGGAATGTCTTGCACCACCAACCAACACAGCTTGTGCTTGTTTTTAACTTAACTAGTTTTGAAACCAGAACATTCCTCTAAACACTGCTATGTGATTGAAATGTTAGCACCTGCTTTTATCTCAGAACACATATACTGTGTCACATAGATCTTCTTCAATGCTTTTGAAGGCTAATGCTGAACGTCTGTGCTCTGTGATATAGTAAAAGCTTCATAGACCACTGGCTAAAAATAAACTAGCTTTCATGCTTTGCCGAGCTGGGAGGTGGCTTTGTTTCAAGCCATTACAGTCTTTTCTCTCTGCTTAGTGCTGTCTTCCATTAACTTCTAAAAGCTGGCTCAGATGACCACTGTTTGACGTTTAAGAGGGGAAAAACTACAGCGTTCCTGCTATACCACATAACTCCACACCCTATGAGACCGAACCAGCTACATGTATATTTCACATCAGGAAATCCTATTGTTTTAAATTTGACATAACATATACAATTTTTTTTATCTAAATCACATATTAGATGAGACATTGCTATCTTTTGTATAAAGACTGAATTCAGACCTGTACTGACAGTATGCACAGCAAAAACACACAACGTATGCCAGCCACATGTGTAACTGGTCACAGTCAATCACTTACTATTCTTGCAACCAAATCACCAAGGTGGAGTCCATACTTGGCAACCACAGGACGCAGAACCTCAGTCACAGGTTTTGTGGGCTTTGCTTTCAACCCAACCGATCTGTTAATGGGGACCAGGTCCAGTCTGAAAATAGCAAACAGGGTGGATTTACTTATAGTATAGTGGCAACCACAGCACACATCTGTTTGATAGTCTTTTCTACATTTATGACATTTGGTGTTCTTGGAGATCATGCTGGTATTGAAGAGCATTTCCTACTGAATATAGAAGTCAACATAACTACATTTGGGTGCAAATATTTGGGTTATTAAATACTTAGGGATTATCATGAACTTTCAACTGATGACTAGATAGTCTGCGTGAAAGAGAGATGATAATAACAAAATGTACCTGAACAAAGTGCGTTTCTCAAGACGAAGTTCTCGAGAGCTGAGTGTAATACTATCTTGGTCCAACACCAAAGGCTAAGCAGAGAAAAATGGGGGAAAAAGAGAAATCTTAGCAGTCACAGAATAACTAAAGGAGACGTTATAAAAGCTGTGAAGGGTTTCTCTACCTTCTCTCCTCCGGTGAGGAAGAGGTCGACAGCAGCCAGGTTGATGTGCTGTTTTTGACAGAGCTCTAGCAGCACCTGTCTGATGGAGGCGCCCTGTCGTAGAGGAATGGAGCAGCTGGAGCCGTCAGGTAGCATTACTGTACACGTCCTGCTACATCGCTCTTTGTCCTTTTCCCAAACAGAACCAAAATTTCTCAGCTCACACTGCTTTACATGTACAAAATATTATAAAACAATCAAAGAAACAAAAAAGTTGTTGATGTGCCAAGTTGCTACATTGCCTGGCAACTGTAAACAGTTTAATGAATTTTATTATGTCAAATTACTAGTGTGGAAAAATTGTATATTCTGATTATTTTCATTAACGAAGCACTCTGTAAAACTCTCAGTAATGCATGATCACAACTGTTGCTTTGAAAATCCTCCCCTTGCATGTCTAATGTCTAAGTATTGTTGTAACTCCCTAGTGTCCTAAAGGGTGCACTCCCTAACTCCCGATCCTCTTACCTCATTCTTTCCTCCGGAAGACGAAGTGTTGAGTTCTTGACTCGCACCAGAAGACAGAGAACCCTGAGACTCTCTCCGCCCATTACAGTCTGTCCACACATATGGATAACCAATCAAAACATGGCAGATGTCACATATTAGCATGCATTAAACTGGTTTCATATGTTTGCAATGTACAAAAAATATTTACCAAAAATAAACATATTGTAAGAAAAGCTGTCGCATGAAATCAGCATATTAAATTAAGGAAGTTTTTCTCTGCTTTTGATGTCAAACAAAATGGTGTTTCTTCAACTATGGATGGACACTGACAAAAATGTTGGTTGCTGTGGACATAAATTACATAACTAATTTACGCAATAAATACTGAAACATAAAAATCAACCCCACAGAAGCTACAAAACACATAAATAGATGTGCGAACATTGACTAAGCAAAGGTGTCACTCAAGGTTGATCAAGTTTTGTTAAATTGTTTATGATCTTTTCCTGTTGAAAGAACACTCTTTATAGTGTTCACATGTCTTAAACACTGTCAGCTTATTAAGCATAATCAGTACTCATTGCTACATCAACAGCAGACAGGGTCAGATCTACAGAAAAATATGATGTTATATATACAGGAAATTAAATAATTGATGATGAGATATTGTTTTGAGACTCACTGTAAGGTAAATCTGGTGCATCTCTTTTCTTCTGTCCTTTCCCAATACTTGGATATCTGTACCAGGAAAAGAAGCCGTTTTTCTTCTCAGAGTGTTTCTCTCTGAGGTCATCACTTGACCTGCCTGTTTTGGGCCTCCTATTTTCCTGTAACACAACATGACACAATCAGACAGAATACTATAGCAGTGAATCAGGCTAAAGCTATAGGAAATGTCAGGCAGCATACATTAAGTCCATTAAATGCATTCTGTACAGCTAGCATGGAACTAAGCAGTGGGCAGTATGGCCAACATTTTATAGCATTGTTTTATATTAGTATTATGTAAACTGCAGTATATTATTTTATATTAAAGTATACAAAATATTTGAAAAGCATTAATAATAAAAATGTAAAATATTGTGATATTGTTATGGTTTGATTATTTAATATTGTTTTGACTATTTGACTAGCAATGACTATTTTTTATAACAAAATTAATTTATTACATTAAAATCAAAGGTAGTTCATGTCATTTGAAACAGCTGAGCTCTATATTAACACAGCAAATGGTGATGTTGCTTGGCAACCACAGACAACTAATAAAAAACTGGTGTAAACAAAAACCAAAAGCATTTATTATATTGCTCATAATTTATCCGCCACAAAGCTTTCTTGAGATATTGCAGCTGTAGTGAGATTAGTACCTTCTTAGGTGTGGAGAAAGTGGAACGGTCAGAGCTGAGGCTGTGCTTGGAGGGGGCGGGGCTACATGGAATCGGGCAGGGGTCAGGCAGAGGTCGGCCCTCTACATCAGCCAGCATGCACTCCTGATAGAGAGTGGACTTCAGGAACCGAGCGTAACTGTCCATCTTCATCAGGTTAAAGATCTGCAGGGATGAGTCAAGGCTTAATGAAGGTTAGGTTTGCTCAGTCAAACAGTGACCACTGCTATGTGAATGTGGGAGTTTAATCATGTGTGTACATTGACCTGCAGCTGTGGCTGTTTGAACATGTTAGGCTGTGGAGCTGTCAGGACGTCGTCAGCAAGCTGAGCTTGACTATCGATGTTCACTGGCATGGTAGCTTTACTTGAAAGGAAACGATTGTAGATCTCTTTGGCTTTCTGGGACAGCTGAAAAACAACAACTATGATTAAAATACTATCAAAAACCTATTGACCTGTATGCTCCCGACTCTTAAAGGATAACTTACCCCAAAAAATGTGAATTCTGTCATCATTTAATCACCTTAATGTTGATTAAAACACATACCTAACCCTAACTAAAACTATTAAAAATTATTCCTGTTAATTGAAGCTGAAATACAGTATATACTGTATATATATATATATATATATTTATAAATTATGAAAAACTTAAACTTAGAAAATTAGAAAGGTTGCCTAACTGAAATTAAATAAGTTTGAATTTAACATCTTTAATAATACTAAAATTACTACAACTAAAATAAACAAATTAAAGCTAAACACAGGGGTTAAAGCAAAAAACAATCCTGAGCCTGAACTTTTTTGCGGGGTTTGGGGGGTTGCGGGGGTGAACACATACACAGGGTTATTTGGCAAAAAAAAGAAGAAGAAAAAAGAACATTATTTGAAAATGATTTTCCTAGAAACTAACTAGTAACATATCTGCCCTTGCCATTAGCCCTTGACA